TGGGTAAGCCCCTTTTAACACAGCCCTGGCATGGCCCCTCATCCTCACAGCTACTGAGCTCTAGTAGCCTCCTCATCAGCATCTGCTCTGCCTCTAGAGAGAACTTAACTAGTGTTACTGAATAACGCATTTCACTGTCAGACCTCAGCCAACGAAAAACAACTCCAATTTACTCAAACTTTGGAAATGTCTTAATAACTGTAAGGTTAATTATAATTTGACTAAACAGTAACAATTTGTATCTGTGGTGTTTGACTACAGAGTATGTAGTTAAAAACTAGTGTGCAATCCAGGCACTAAGCTGCAAACTTCTGAGATACAAGTACTAACATTTAGTTTTATGTGTTTTAAGCAAACTGTACTGGACAGACTACGGAACAGAGAGTGGCATCCCTGCCAAGGTTGCATCTGCAGACATGGATGGCTTAAATCCTGTCACCCTGTTCACCAACAACCTAGATCACATTGAGTTCATCACTGTGGACATTAGAGAGAACAAGCTGTACTGGGCTGTTACGAGCACTGGTGTGGTGGGTCTTCACTTTCTCACTGTTCATTCTTTAAAGTTCTGACAAATGTAAACTGATATTTACCTTAATGCTAGTTTTGTTGAGTGTTCACACAAATACTGCATTTTACTGCCTGTTTGACATTGAATTTCCACAGATTGAGCGTGGTGATCCAGATGGGAGTAACCGTATCACCATAGTAACAGGTCTGTCTCACCCCTGGGGTGTGGCTGTCTATCAAAACTACCTCTACTTCACTGACCGTGACTTTGAGGTCATAGAACGTGTGGACAAGGCCACAGGTGCCAACAGAGTTGTGTTACGAGACAACGTTTCTGGTCTCAGAGTCCTAAAAGTTCATTATCGAGAGAGTGAGTAGCACAAGGAGACATAAACACTGAGAAGAATACATAGTTCTCACCCACTGTTTTTGGCTTGTGGCTTTTGTTATCTTGGTAATACTGTATTCTCTTTGCAAACTCAGCCTCCGCCGGTACATCAAATGGCTGCACCAACAATATGGGAGCGTGTGAGCAGCTGTGCCTGCCCCGGCCGCAGGGTCTGTTTACTTGTGCGTGTGCCACAGGTTTTAAAGTCAATGCTGACAACAGGACCTGCGCACCCTACCAGTCTTATGTCGTTATCTCCACTCTGTCTGCCATCAAAGGCTTCAGTCTAGAAGGGGCAGACCACTCTGAGGCCATGGTGCCTGTGGCTGGGAGAGGTCAGTGATTCTTTTTTAATATACTATACTGCATATTTATGCAATACAGCTTCTGGAATGCTCATTAACTGGAAAAAAAAAGAGTAAAGGTGTAATAATGAACAGAATAACTGACTGAGACACTGAACATCAAATGTTCATGATGTGGTTATTGTTGCTGAAGTAACAATAATGGCCTTTAATGACTGGGTTATCCTCTTTCAGGCCGTAACGCTTTACACATTGATGTGCACATGGCGTCTGGTTTCATCTACTGGTGTGACTTCAGCAGCACTGTGGCGATGCAAAATGGGGTCAGACGGATCAAGCCAGATGGCTCGGGATTACGTAGCTTGGTAACATCTGGAATAGGGCGTAATGGGATACGAGGCATTGCTGTTGACTGGGCTGCAGGTATGCTGTTGTGTCAAGTCCTAACTCTGTTGTTTGCTAATTTTACTACATGTACTATATTGTTAATACTCTATATGTTTGCTTGTCTTTAATACAGTTTACCTCACTCACTCATTTTGCTTTTGCTTCTGGAACAACCAAATCTTTCCAAGTAATTAAGAGAATATGTGCATGTAAACCAGAACACTAAAAGTCAGACTAGTTTAAACTTGTGGTAGGATACAGGTCACAAGCAGAGGGTTGCCTGGTACAGTGAAATTTTATCATAGTGTGTAAATCCCAGAGAAGGGAGACCAGTCCCTTACAAGTCTGTAATTATTTCAGAATGATAAACCCAGAGAGCCTGTTCTAAAAACAAGAGAGACTTTGTGAATGCGCACAATTATTGCTGCTGGTGTTGCCTTGAAAGTGGACAGCAGGATGAACCACAGCAGCACTAATTAATTAAAATTTCTCCTCCATAGATAGGTAACAACAGTATATTTACTGATAAAAAGGGATGTGTAACACTCTAAACAAAGCGGGTAATTCAGAAACTACATATTTTAAGTGGTATAATGCAGGCATAGTAACTTCTCCAGCCTTGCAACAGTTCTCTCTAATGTTACAGAAACAAGGCATTAACAGACAAGTAATGTGTGGGTTTTTTTTAAACTTAACATTAAGTCCCACTGAGTAGTGGAAACATCACTCCCTTTAGTAGCTTCAAGGTCAGTAAATCCAACTGGTGGTCGTTGTGTCTTCCCCACACGACCACATACAGTCCCAAAGTAGTCAAATTAATTCCAACAGGTAGGGTAGTGCCAACAATAACATCATGGGTTGTTAATCTGCTCAGTCAGTCAGTCAGGTAAAACAACATGTCCTGTACAGGAACATTCCCAGACATGCAGTAACCTCAGGCCCTGTATTTTTCTCCACATCCTCTGGTCACAGTGCAGCAGGAGGATGTAAAATATATCCACAAAACTGGGCACGGTCAAAAAATTCCCCTTTTAATTTGTCACCGGTGTATGTCGAGCTCACATGAACTCGCAACTGCCTGGAGATTATGTCCATTCAAGGAAATCCTTAAAACTATCACGCAATACTTAATTTTGTTAGAAAAAATGTCTCGCAAGTGAGCGTTTGCGAGACTTGTATAAACCGAGTTTCTTCTTCATAGAAGTACTAGAACATACATACACCTCATTTTTTGACTTTTAGGTCACATCTAAGATGATAATTCACCATTGTAACATTGTAGATAAGTTATGGGCTCTTTAAATGTGACCTATTGTAGTTAACAGTTTGTGACTGATGACCACATAACTTACAAAAATATGATGCACTTTACACACTGAGCTTTCTGGATTCTGTTCTTAGGGAACTTGTATTTCACTAATGCCTTCCTGACTGAGACGTATGTGGAGGTGCTCCGCCTGAATGCCACTTTCCGCAGGGTGCTGCTGAAGACCCAGGTGGACATGCCACGCCATCTTGTTGTAGACCCAAGAAACAGATACTTGTTCTGGGCTGATTATGGTCAGAACCCTAAAATTGAACGAGCACTCCTGGATGGAACTAACCGCACAGTTTTAGTGTCATCAGGCATTATCACTCCACGAGGTCTTGCTCTGGACTGGCAAACTGGCTATGTCTACTGGGTGGACGACTCTCTGGACATGATTGCTCGAGTCAACCCTCAAGGAGGGGAGACAGAGATAGTAAGGTATGGCAGCCGCTATCCAACTCCTTATGGGATCACAGTGTTTGAAAATAGCATCATTTGGGTGGATAGAAATCTCAAGAAGGTGTTTCAAGCAAGCAAAGAGCCTGGCAACACAGAGCAGCCTGCTGTCATTAGAGACAACATCAACATGCTGAGAGATGTTACCATCTTTGACCGGCGGGCCCAGCCAAACACTGCTCAGGAGCTTAACTACAACCCCTGTATTGAGGCCAACGGAGGCTGTGCCCACTTCTGCTTTGCCTTACCAGGTTCTGGCACAGGCAACCAGAACAAAAGATGCAGCTGTGCTTTTGGGGATCTTGCAGCAGATAACAAGACCTGTGTGGTGTCAAGAGATGATTATCTTATCTACACGACTGAGAGCACGGTGCGCAGCCTGCGCCTCGACCCACAGGATCATGCTTTGCCCTTCCCTGTGATCAATGTGCAACGTACCTCGGTAGCCCTGGATTTTGACCTCACAGACAGGAGGGTCTACTTCACACAGAGTTCAGGTGCAGGAGCAAGCAAGATCAGCTACATCAGCCTGTCCTCTCCCACCTCAGGCCCTGTAGTAGTGGCTTCAGGTAGGGTTTACATTCACACTGTTAGATTTATTTGATCCATTAAGAGGTTGTCTATGCATGTAGTGAATAATGCTAAAGATATTGCTGATGTTGTTGTGGTCTGTGCGTTTTTACAGATCTGGGAGCTCCTGATGGTATTGCATATGACTGGATAAACAGAAGAATTTACTACAGTGACTATGTTAACCAGAGCATCAGCTCCATGTCTGTGGATGGCTCTCAGAGGGCTATTATTGCCCATGTGTCCAGGCCAAGGGCCATCATGTTAGATCCCTGCAGGGGGTAAGACTTACACAACACACATTCTCTTTGTTTATTAGCTTCTTCTGGAGGCACCGAGGGCCAGGCGGAAAACTAGGGGGGATAGAGCCTTTGCTGTGGTAGGTCCAAAACTGTGGAATGCCTTGCCGCTTTATATTAGGCAGGCCCCCTCCCTGTCTACTTTTAAGTCTTATTTGAAGACCCACTTGTATTCATTGGCGTTTGGCCAGGAATGAGACTCTGTCTGTAGTGTTAGTGTTTATACTATTGTTTATAGCTTTTATGTGTTGTTTTTTATATTTGTATGATATGTTAAGTGCTTTGGTCAGCTGTGCTGTGGTAAAGCGCTATATAAATAAAGTTGAGTTGAGTTGAGCTGAGAATTAGATTAAACTCAGGAATAAATCCTTCCTTGTTCCACAGGTACATGTATTGGACAGACTGGGGAACCCATGCAAAGATTGAGCGTGCCACTTTAGGTGGAAACTTTAGAACAGAGATTGTGAACAGCAGTCTGGTGTGGCCCAATGGACTGACCCTGGACTATGAAGAACAGAGACTATATTGGGCAGATGCCAGCTTGTAAGATCTGAAAAATTCCACTGTATTTGTCTATTGTTTTGTTTTGTTGCCATCAAGCTACTGCTAATAATGTCATTTTGTTCTACCATCAGACAGAAGATTGAGCGATCCTCTCTGACGGGGTCCAATCGGGAGGTGATTGTCAGCACAGCCATCTACCCCTTTGCCATGACCATGTTTGGCCAGTTCATCTATTGGACTGACTGGAACAAACGCAGCATCTATCGAGCCAACAAGCATGACGGTTCTGACCAGACTGTCATAATTCAGAATCTTCCATCTCGACCAATGGACATCCATGTTCTGGCCAGAAGGAAGCAAGAGCAGTGTGACAGTCCCTGCCAGCAATTTAATGGAGGCTGCAGCCACATCTGTACACCAAGTACAAGCAGTTTTTGTTTTATCACAATATTCGTTTTCTGCAGTTGAACACACCAACTAACTGCATAGTCTGTGCCATTTTATCTTTTTAGGCCCAAACGGAGCTGAGTGTCAGTGTCCATCAGAGGGTCGCTGGTACCTGGCTGACAACAAGCACTGTATCCCTGATAATGGAACTCGATGCCAGCCAGGCCAGTTTACCTGTATGAATGGCCGCTGTATTCGTGCCCAGTGGAAATGTGACAATGACAATGACTGTGGAGATGGCAGTGATGAGTTGGAGAGAGTCTGTGGTGAGGTGTTCCTAAATACAAAGACTTTGAATTAATTGTATTCCTTCCTTGCATTTTGCCCAAAAATCTCACTGCTGATTTTTTGTTATAATAGTTCTCATAGAAGCCTCCTCCTGAATCCCAACCCTACTACCTTTTCTATGAATTGCAGCTCTATGTCGCTATAATTCTGTTTGAGATTCAGTAACAATAACTTTTTTTTTTTTATTTAACCAAATTCTTTTGTAGGACCTAAAACTGATGTCAACTATGTTGGTGTGTATCTTACACTTTGTGATTACTGTACACTTCCATTAACATGATCCCTCTTCCTAACACAAATCAACACTAACCCATGGATCACTGTGCTTCTTTGCATGCAGTCCCACAGTTGCTGTCATCCTTTATTGCCTTGTCAGGTAAAAGTAGCTTCCACTGGATGTGTATGTCTGCCTCCTTTCTCCTGACCTTGCTTTCTGTTGGCTAGTCCTCTGACCTGTCCTTGATTGTGATTGGCAGCCTTCCACACCTGTGAGCCCACAGTGTTTACTTGTGGCAATGGGCGATGTGTGCCCTACCACTACCGCTGTGACCACTATGACGACTGTGGAGACAACAGTGACGAGGTGGACTGTTTGTTCAGACCATGTGACCCCAATACAGAGTTTGCCTGCAACAACGGACGCTGTATTGCAAAGGACTACGTTTGCAATGGCATCAACAACTGCTATGACAATGGCACCTCTGATGAACGAAATTGCCGTGAGTGTCCTGCCGCTGAAATTAAATGAGGTTAATCTTCATCCAGTTAGTTTTTACTTATACTATCTATGTTCTAATTTATGATTATCTTAGCGGAGAGAACCTGCCAGCCAGAGCACACAAAATGTCAGTCTACCAACATTTGCATCCCACGTTCATATCTGTGTGATGGAGACAATGACTGTGGGGATATGAGTGACGAGAGCCCCACACACTGTGGTGAGTTCAGCTCAAAGAAAATAGCAATATTATACTGTTTTCCTGTTTGTTATTATACTAATTATACAGCTCCTCCCATGTTGTTATAGCCACTCTTCATGTTATTAGTAATACCTCTGCTTTTCTTGCTATGGCTGGTCAAAGTGCTTGTCTTGAAAAAGGCCTGTTGTCAGTTAGACTGTTAAAATTAGTCCTTCTTCACTATTGCCTAATAGTGCGGATTGTAACCCACAGCTTCTGTAACCAGAAATCATTTTGAGGATGACACAGTATGGTGCAAATGAGGGATCATTAGTCCGCTCAATCTGGGTAAATCGTCTTTTAAATCTACTAAAGATTAGGAGGCCATGAGTCAGAAACAGACCGTGTTTACCTTGCCCCCTCATCAGCTTCTTACAATTCCCACATCGACAAGTATTGGGTGATTTCATGCCTTTTTATATGCTCTACGTAGCTACATCCACATGTTCCCACCGCGAGTTTCGCTGCTCCAGTGGTCGTTGCATCCCCGCCCACTGGTACTGTGATGGAGGGGCTGACTGCGCCGACAGCTCTGATGAACCCCTCTCCTGCAGTGAGTGTCACACAACTCTCTCGCCAGCAAAATGGGGCGGTGGGCTTTGTCTATCTGCCCCCATCCCATTATCAGCTGCTCGGTTATTGTGTGTTTGTGTCTGTCCACCCATCTGCATCTGTGTGCTGGTGTGAGAGAGTGCTGTGAGTGATGTAGCGGAGAGTGTGAGTCAGTGGTGTATTTCTTTGTTGACGATGTGGTCAGTCAGGCCTCCTATTGTGTGCAGCATTCCTCTGTGGTGACGCCCCTCATCATCCTCTGACAAACAGGCACCTCCCCCTCCCTTTGTCCTCCAGGGGTTACAGAGCCTCACTTTGGCTTTTGTTTAGATAGCTCACCATGCATGGGAATGTGGAGTTGCCATGACTGTTTTGAAAGCTTCACCAGTGTTTCATTGTTCATTCCTTATTAGCTGAAAAGCAGTGGGGGAAGCACCTGAGCTAATTGGCAATTACTAAAAGGAAACAAGTTAGAAAAAAGATTAACATTTATATTAGTTATAAATCAGTTGGCATGACTTTATACAGTCACAGCAGTGTACTTTTCTGGCTGTATCGCTTACTGTCTAATGTTATTTGACTTGTCTCTTCAGCCACACTAGTCAGAACCTGCAACACAGATCAGTTCCGCTGCGATGATGGCAGGTGCATTGCATCATCCTGGATCTGTGATGGGGACAATGACTGTGGTGACATGAGTGATGAAGATCAAAGGCATAACTGTGGTATGCATTCTACGTTACCTTCTCTGCTTCCTATTTTGTTTTCTTTTCCTCTTTCACTTAGTCTTTTTTCATTCTCTTTTGCATCTTCCCTCTTATTTCCTATTGTACCACTTCTCCACTTTTCCCCCTTTGTGTCTTTCATTCACCTGTTAGTCAGTATGCTGATGGATTAGGATACACTGGAGCACTGAAGGGGAGACACTGGCAGTCAGGCGCGAGCACCTTAGTTTCTTGTACAAGGTCTCCGGTCCAAGGAGATGACATTCCTGATTTCTCCTGCCTCACTCGTTACTTTGTGTATGTCTCCGTTCTCTGGCTTCCTGGCTTAGGGAGGATCGAGACTCTTATGTCTCACTAATGTGTGCTCCAACAATAAGATGCCTGAAGCTAATGTTTGCAGCACTGCCTGAGCCTCTGTAGGAGGCTCACTACAAACAATGTAAATTACATTGGATGGATAAATAGTTTCAGGATACGACTGCATCCTTTGAAATACAGTTTGGAATGTCTGGATTGCCAAACATGCAGGATGGCACTTGGTCATCACCATCATTATTTGACTTTTTCCAGCCAATCGCACATGTACCAGTACAGAGTTCACCTGTGTGAACAACCAGCCACCTCAGCGGAAATGTATCCCGCGTGATTGGGTGTGTGATGGAGATGCAGACTGTGCAGATGCATTAGATGAGCATCAGAATTGCACACGCAGATCCTGTGGCCTCAGTGAGTTCACCTGCAGCAATGGCCTCTGCATACGCAGTTCATACAGGTTAGAGAAAAAAAACTTGAAATATCAAAAATGACAGTTGTCATCAGTTTGTCTGGAAATTTGAGGTCATTTCTTGTGGTCAATCAAAATCAGGTGTGATCGTCGTAATGACTGCGGAGACGGCAGTGACGAGCAGAGCTGCACCTACCAGCCATGCCAGCAGCACCAGTTCACCTGCCAGAATGGCCGCTGTGTGTCCCGTGACTTTGTCTGTGATGGGGACAATGACTGTGGTGACGAGTCTGATGAGCTGCAGCACATGTGTCACACACCAGCACCAACCTGCCCCCCTGGAGAGTTCCGATGTGACAATGGACACTGTATCTCCCAGAGCCACGTGTGCGACAGGAACGACGACTGCTCTGACAACAGTGATGAGAAAGGATGCGGTGAGTGTAAAGAGATTTACAGAATAGTTCAAGAATTTGTGAACTGAAAAATATCTTTATAATCTTGCAGTGGCTGGAGCGTTTGCCTGCAGTTGGTTTTCATTCAGCTTGTGCTTGCTCCCTCTAGAGGAAATGTCAAGGAAGTCCAGGGAGTGGTGTTGGCAAACTGTTGGGCATTTAGACAGCAGCCAAATTATTGGACAACTCTGCTTTCTGCTGAGTTATTTACATTACAACCTAGCGTTAACATTTAGGCTGCAATACTAAATGATCAGTGAAAGATTATGTTTCTATAGATGTAGCATTGTCATTACGCAGAGGTGGGGTTGAAATCCAAATTAATACTATGATTTTGATTATAGTATTATAGTTATCATAGTAAAGGAAAGAATGAGGAGCCCTAGTACACATCAAGAAAGCTAACTAATAAAGATAGAAATAATACAGTTTATCATTTTGGTTCTCTGTCTTTATATGCTGGTCTGGCAGGATAAAAATTTTGATTGACTTCTGGCTCTTATGCTTCTCTGTAGGCATCGATGAATGCACAGACCCATCTGTCCATCATTGTGATCACAATTGCATCGACACACCCACCAGTTTCATTTGCACCTGTCGCCCTGGCTACCGCCTCATGTCTGACAGCAAAACGTGTGATGATGTGAATGAGTGCGCAGAGACACCAAGCGTGTGCAGCCAAGTTTGCGAGAACACTGTCGGCTCACACGTGTGTAAGTGTGCTCCAGGATTCCTCCGAGAGCCCGATGGCCGCAGCTGCCGTCAGAACAGCAACATCACACCTTACCTCATCTTCAGCAACCGCTATTACCTGAGGAACCTGTCAACAGATGGACAGGCCTACTCTCTGATCCTGCAGGGCTTGACCAGTGTGGTGGCCATGGACTTCGATCGTGTGGACAAGCGTCTCTACTGGACTGATGTGAATCGCCGAGTGATCGAGAGAATGTCCTTCAACGGCAGTGACAGAGAGGTGGTGGTCAACGGAGTCCTGCAAGGGGAGGGCCTTGCGGTTGACTGGGTAGCCAGGAAACTCTACTGGGTGGACAGCTTCTTGGATTGTCTCAAAGTGTCTGAACTAGATGGGCGATTTGTGAAGAAACTGGCTGAACACTGTGTCGATGCCAATAACACCTTCTGCTTTGAAAACCCCAGAGGCATTGTGTTGCATCCCAAATATGGGTGAGTATAAGGCAAGGAGGAAATAAGTCTTATGATGGAGCCTGATTGATAAATCAATAAATTGGCAGAGCCACTGAGTTGCTGGCTGGGCTAATGTTAGCACATATATTGACATCCAAAACAAAGTGCAATACAGAAAACTGCATAAACAAAAGTTTTATATGTATAATTATTTGGCATATTTCACCTTACTTTTGTCTTAACAGAATTTTGGTAACATTTTATTTCATGGTCCTGCAATTTCTTCATAATTATTTAGGACGTTTTCTAGAAAGAACAGTGTAATGTGGCACTAATTATAGAAACCGTAGAGGCAAAGTTCTGAGACTGTCAATCTGCTCCAGATTTGAAACCCAAATTAATAGTCATGCATTATTTATTTATCATTTTGAACATCATTCTTCATATTTTTGAATAGTTTTCTGCCTGTATATGTTTTTGCTTGTCATTCTGACCTGCTGCACACTAAAAGACTTTCTTATTCTCACTGGCAATTAATTTGGATTAGTTAACAACCATTGAAGAATGTTCTATTTTACTTATAATATCACCAAATTACATACTTTTTTTCATGACATTTTCCAAGAAGTTATTAGGAACTGATGGACCTGTGAAATAAAGCCTTACCCTTTTATTTGTTTATTGATTATTGTTATTATTTGTCATATTTTGCTATAAGAAAAGATTCCTTCTTTATATCTGTTGATCTAAAGGGATTTTCTTGGGTTCCTGTTAGATTTGTATACTGGACAGACTGGGGATACAGAGCCTTTATAGGCCGTGTTGGAATGGATGGAACCAACAAAGTAGCCATCATTACCACCAAGATAGAGTGGCCTAATGGCATCACCATTGACTACACTAATGACAAGCTCTATTGGTCTGATGCTCATCTCAATTACATTGAGTAAGTACCTTTGTCAGGACGTGGTCACACTCTTTTAGCCTACTGTGAGTGCAGTCATACTAGTAACCCTTTGACTTCTAATCCTTATCTCAGGTTCTCAGACTTGGATGGTCAACACAGACACACAGTGTACAATGGAGATTTGCCTCACCCTTTTGCCTTAACCGTGTTTGAGGACACCGTGTACTGGACTGACTGGAACACACGCACGGTGGAGAAAGGCAACAAATACGACGGCTCTGGTCGTCAGGCTTTAGTTAATACCACACACAGACCATTTGACATCCATGTATGCCATCCTTATAGACAGCCCATTGGTGAGTGAAAAATCTCAGAATATTATGTCCAAAGAGCTTTCTGTTGTAAGACTTTGGTTAACAAATAACTGTTTCTTAGCTTGACATGTCCAAGCTGATTTAAGTACAAATATTAACTACCAGCTGAACAATACCTGGCCTGTATTTGCCCAGCTGTGCTGAGATTGTTTGACTGGCTGCGGCTCTTCCTCTGTCAGTAAACAATCCCTGTGCTGTGAACAATGGAGGCTGCTCTCACCTGTGCCTGATCCGTCATGGGGGGCAAGAACACACCTGTGAGTGCCCTGACCATTTCCTGAAAGTCCAAATAGGAGGTGTGACCCGATGCCTTCCCATGTGTACCAGCACCCAGTACAGATGTGCTAACAATGAACGGTTTGTTAAGGTTTCTCTTTATGTGACATAGATCTTTTTAAACATTAGTATATCATTATCAGATTAACTGTGATGTATTAGTGGCATAACCACAAACAAATGAGACCACTATTTAGATTATCGGTAGTTTTGGTAGAGTTAACAGCAGATTGAATCATCTGTTAGGTCCAGATCTTTGGAAGAATCAGCGCCCCCTGCTGGTGGTGCTGTACTTTAATCATTCAGTTTTTCACAGAATCCTTCTGTGTAGTGTAGTGGTGAGGTCAGCAGAGGCTTTAGATCGTCTTGGTAAAGGTATTTATATAATTACTCTTGTATTAAGAATTCATGTAGCGTTTAACCTTTACATCTAATTTTCCCAGCCCTTGTGCACTACATGTCAGCGCTGTGATTTTTGAACAGTAAAAGGGAGTTAAGGAATCCATTTTGGAGTTTAAATACTTAGTGTATGCCACCTTAGTGTGTGGCACCACATTTGTTTACTTAATGTAAATCCCTCATTGTTGTCCCTACCTTTGCTTCAACAGCTGTATTCCTATCTGGTGGAAATGTGATGGGCAGAGGGACTGCAGGGACGGCTCAGACGAGCCCTCCACCTGCCCCAGTCGTCACTGCAGGCTCGGACAGTTTCAGTGCAGCGATGGAAACTGCACCAGCCCGCACTTCCTTTGCAACAGCAACCACGACTGCCATGATGGCTCTGATGAAGACCCTGTGCTGTGTGGTAGGTTGTGTTCTTTGAGGCTGGGGTTTTTCCGCATTTATGCTTTTTGTATGGCTTCATGCTTGAGCATGTCTTCCCTCTAGCTACCCACCAGTGTGAGAGCTATCAGTGGCAGTGTGCAAATAAGAGATGTATCCCCGAGTCATGGCAATGCGACGGCAAGGACGACTGTAGTGATCAGTCTGATGAGGACCCCACCCACTGCTCCACCAGGACCTGCCGACCCGGACAGTTCAAGTGCCGCAACGGACGCTGCATTCCTCAGATCTGGAAATGTGATGTTGATGACGACTGTGGTGACAACTCTGATGAACCATTAGAGGAGTGCAGTAAGTAACATGTAGTTTCTCTCTCTTTTTTACACTACTTGTAGGTCTTTCTTTCATTTTAAAAGGACTAACATTTAGGTGCAGTATACATCTTGATATCCTAATGAGCATCAGAGTCAAGTCTCAGATAAAGATGCACCTTGAATTACCTGCAACTACAGATGTTAAACTAAGCTTCTTGTATGTATTTTAAAAAATGCCCTACCTTTTGTCTTCATTTCGTGTCTTTGATGCTTGTTTTCTCTTCAGTGGGACCAGCATATCGATGCGACAACCACACAGAATTTGACTGTAAGACCAACTACCGATGTGTGCCCCTGTGGTCTGTATGCAATGGCCAGGATGACTGCAGAGACAACAGTGATGAGCAGAGCTGTGGTGAGTCTGCGGTAGACAGACAGAACAGAGGTATTGTTTATATTGTGGCAGTGCCTTGAAGATTATGTGTCATTATCACACTATCAGAATTTACGTTAAAAGTCACATTTGCTCCTGTTTACTGATGGTAATTAGATTTTAGAGATTTGTTTTAGATCTTTTAGATGAAAACATTTCAGGATGGGAAGAGGAGTATGTATTCAAGCAGTGAATGAAGGGCAATTAGTCAACATCTCAGCTTCCTGTGAAATATTACAAAGTGAAGTAGTGGGAGGTGCTGATGGAGCGGGTTTCACCACTCACCCTCCCCCACAATTTGCCTCTCCTCTGAAGACATAACAGATTTATTAGCTGTCCAGTGGTATGGGTCTACATATATATGTGTGCATGTTCTTGCTCTGTCCTTGCGTGGGGGCAGGGTTCACACAAGTCTCTTTGTACTTTGCTATGATCCAAACACACTTGCTGCAGCCCTCCCGTCTCTTATCAGAGGCCCTCACTCCATTAGTTCCATGCCTGTGCAGGAGGGGAGATCTGTGCTAATCTTCCTGTAAGAATGCAGCAGATGGGCCAGGTGGAGGGCTAGGAGGGCAGGATAAGTAACTCTGCGCTATCTTTGACCCTCAGCACTGTGTGGTAGAGACAGCTCAGACCAGCTCTCCTCCACTCCTCTCCTCTCCGTGCTTCTCATCTCCTGCGGTCTTATCCGCTACAGACACATACTGGCATGGATAGAGGTCACCCATCTGTCTAAAGCATGCTGCTCTCCTCCCTCTAGGACTATCACAGTTTAATTAAAAGCCAAGATGCCTTTCACTTCAAACTGACATTTTCATTATTTCATAAAAGTCTAAACATTTGCAGCCATATGCTGTTGTTGCTCTGATTGCTACATTTATCTGCTGTTCTCATCTCGGACTGCTACTTGGAGAAAACAGATTCAACAGTGAGAAGATTTTCAGTCTTCAGTGGGCCATTTAAAGCTTAATATACTATACTAAAATATACTATGTTAGTGCCACTGTAGTGTGAGCTTTTAGATCATAATGCTTACTAGGCACACCCATTTTATGCAGACTAATACAGCAGTCCTGCAATAAATCTAGTCTCCACAGAGATGGCAATGTTCATTTATTATTAAAATTTTTCCATAGAGGCATTTTTTCAATTTTATACTCATTTTGGAGGCTGTAGTTTGTGGTTCTGTTGAACTGTATTGATTTGTAGTGGGGTAATTAAAAAAAAACTTTTTCGGGCACTCTTAGGTAAGTTGCATTAATTTATTCAAAAGTTATGGTTTATAAGAGCAACTGTATTCATTTCCCAGATGAGGTGACCTGTGATCCTAATGGAGACTTCCGCTGTGACAACCACCACTGCATCCCACTGAGGTGGAGGTGTGATGGGGACAATGACTGTGGGGACAACTCCGATGAACGCAGCTGCAGTGAGTGCTGTGCTGTCAGTTGTCAGACAGTTTTTAGAATGAACACCGCTTCCACACAGCTTCTGTGAATTGTCCAAATGAAAAAGGAGTGTTGATTACAAAGAACTGTGCTGCTATAGATTTATCAGACAGTATGAAGGTTTTGTAAAAGGCTCAACACTCCTGCCGACAGCGGACTGAGGAGAGAGGTAACCTTATCAGCTGCTAAAGAAACAGGCTGTCCTCGGTGTGTCAGAAAGAAGGAGTGAGGAAGTATGTCACCTCTTGCCCTGGAGAATTAAATCATCATGCCAGTTATTACGTATAATGTAACTCCTCAAAGGAGAAGCAATGACTGGGGTTAAATCCTCTTGTTGCTGTGCTGCTAATGGCCAGGAGCATTCATCTCCAGCGAACACATGAGCTCACTACAGAATAACAGCTCCACGTGTTGCTCGAGTTAATGTGGGTGTTTTATGTTACAGTATAGAGGAGAATAATGCAGGGTAATTTGATGTATTGTTACAAGTTTGAAAAATGTTGAAGCATTGATCGAACTAAGAAGAAATGTGTTTCAAAATGAACAACATAAAGTTTAGCATTTGCTTGATTTCACTCTGAAATGTCTGTCTTCATGTTTTCCCTCAGCTCCACGCGCGTGCACAGAGAGCGAGTTTCGTTGTGATAATCTGCGCTGCATTCCCGACCACTGGGTCTGTGACCATGACAACGACTGTGAGGACAACTCGGATGAAAGGGACTGTGGTAAGTGGAGGTTCTTTGTTTTGGCTCAGGGTCTGGCTGTTTGTGAGTAACGGAGGGCGGCACCAAACAAAGAAGCAGTAAGACTTCAAGTTTTGAAGGACAGACAGGACCATCAATGGTTATTTATTTAAAAAGAGCTTATTCGCTGTGGTACAGCTGAAGGATGATGGCAGAGTGCAGGTCACACCAGCGGTGGAAGAGTTTCTAAGATTGTTTTCTTCAGTAAAAGTAGCGATACCATAGTGTAAAAATACTCTGTTATGAGTAAATGCCCTGCATTGAAAATGTTCCTTAAGTGAAAGTACAAAAGTATCATCATCAAAATATACTTAGAGGACCAAAAGTAAAAGTATTCAGTGTGCAGAATGGCACATTTCACATTAATGTATATCATATTATTGGATTATTATTGTGTACATTACATTTAATGTTGCCCTAGTAAGCTGGAGCTGATATAAACTATATTATAAGCTCATAATTTCAATTAGTGCTAATTAGGTTGTGAATATACTGTATTTTTTTAATTTGGTTCTGAAAAGTAATTAGTAACTACAGTTATCAAGTAAAGGGAGTGGAGTAAAAAGTAAAATGTTTGTCTGTAAAATGTAGTGAAGTATGAAGTAGTAGAAAAAAAGTACAGATACCTGGTTTGGCTGTGTTACAGAGCTGCGGACTTGTCATCCTGGCAACTTCCAGTGTGGCAGCGGACACTGTATCTCTGAACATTTCAAGTGCGACGGCAATCCCGACTGTCTGGATTTTACAGATGAGCTGTCATGTCGTGAGTGTGTCACATCTAGTGGTTTCCCCTTGTGAACTGTATCATAAAAAAAAATTGCAGATTTAGTTTGACAGAATGGTTCTGACTTTCAGCGACCCGCTTCCCCAACGGCACATACTGCCCCACCTTCTTGTTTGAGTGCAAGAACCATGTATGTGTCCAGCCTCACTGGAAATGTGATGGAGACAATGACTGTGGAGACAACTCAGATGAGGAGCTTCACCTCTGCTGTAAGTGACATGAATACCCACAGGTCCAGCACACACAAAACCAAAGCATTGTGGTTAGGCTGTCAAACCCAGAATCACATCAAACAATATATCAACTCACTGTTTGTATGTGGAATATTTGAATCTGCCGAAGCTGCTGAGAGGTTTTCTTGAGGCTTGCTGTTTCTGTTTATGCACAGTGGACATCCAGTGTGAGACCCCGTTCCGTTTCCGCTGTGAAAACAACCGCTGCATTTACAGCCATGAGCTGTGTAACTCTATTGATGACTGTGGGGACGGCTCCGACGAGAGACAGGAAAACTGTACGTATGGAACTTTTTGTAACAGAAATTACTGTACTAATATTTAGCGGCTGCTGCAGTAGTTGATGACTCATTTATGTACTCAGACTACAGCAGTTCAAACTATCCCTGAACAGAATTGAATGCATCTACAGCTTCTCTTGAGTTGATATGTTTTGTTTTGTTTTTAATTTAGGCCAAAGTCCCACACATGGCCCCTGTACAGACGAAGAGTATAAATGCAGTAACGGGCAATGCATTCCTCTGCAGTACGCCTGTGATGATTATGATGACTGTGGAGACCAGTCAGATGAACTTGGCTGCCGTAAGTAACATTAGATAAGTTCATAACATACATGCACTCAGTTTAAATGCTCTAAATACTAAAAACTATTTTCTGTATAGCCGTATTATTTTACACTCACCTCCCAGAAACAGGTAGTGATTATATATAGCAGCAGATTGATAATACTGTACCTACCATCACACTGTATACAGCTACCTAGTGGGATTCTTCTGTTGACATTCAGTTTGTGTTTGTGCCTGCTCCTGTCAGACCATGGCAGCGGGCACACATGCAGCGACAGAATCTGTGAACACAACTGTACCAACCTGATGGAGGGAGGCTTCCTCTGCTCCTGCAGGCCTGGTTACAAGCCCAGAACCACAGAAAAACACACCTGTGAAGGTAAACAGCACTTAGTCACACATGCACTCAGTCCGTTTAAACACTCACACAGAAGTTCTACATTCAGCTCATGCTTTTCTCTCTTTTAAAAAATTTCTCTGGCTAATGGAAACAGATGTGAATGAGTGTGAAGTGTATGGAACGTGTCCTCAGGAGTGCAAGAACTCAAAGGGCAGCTACGAGTGTTTTTGTGCTGAAGGTTTTCACTCATTCGGTGAGCCACATGGGACAGAGTGTGCTGCCCAGGGTAAGAGCTTAGTATTCATACAAGGAACAAAATTCTTCACAAATACTTTTTTTTTTTTAAATTGAAGCCAAACTCTGAATTGAAACTGCTACTAGCATTCACTCTGCCTCATTTTCTGTACAGGAAATCCACCAGTGCTGCTCTTACCAGACAACGTTCGCATCCGTCGTTTCAACCTCTCATCTGAGGAGTATTCAGATTATGTGGACAACGCTGAGCACATCCAAGCCTTGGACTACCTGTGGGATCCAGAGGAGAAAGACCTCAGTGCGGCTACTGTAGAAATTTTGTTGTCTGCAGTAAATAAAAATGCAAAAAGATCTCTAAGTTTTGATAACCTTTATCCCCCTTGTTGGCTGTAGGTATTGTGTACTGGACGGTTATGGGCCGAGGAGCTCAGTTTGGCTCTATTAAACGTGCCTACATGACCACATTCAACGATCACGGTAACAACCCAGTTAAAGAGGTGGATCTTAACCTGAGATACATCTCTAATCCTGATGGCATCGCTGTGGACTGGGTTGGCGGGTAATCCATGAGGATTATGACTTCCTTTTGCAGAGATTTCTTAAATATTTCAATCAGTTGCTCATTATGTACTTATCACCTTTTATAGACACATTTACTGGACAGACTCGGGGACCAATCGGATTGAAGTGGCCAAACTGGATGGGCGGTACAGGAAGTGGCTGATCCACACAGACCTTGACCAGCCTGCTGCCATTGTTGTCAATCCATCACTTGGGTAAAAATAACAAAACTGAGAGTGTTTGTTTGAGATAAAACACACATTGCATTGTCTGCATTCTTAATTCCTTTGTACAGCATGATAAGGCCTTGTGCCCTCTCAAGAAAAATCATTCTGTGTTGGCAGAATGATGTACTGGACAGACTGGGGCAGACAACCCAAAATAGAATCTGCATGGATGGATGGTCAGCACAGAGAGGTGCTGGTGAATGAGGAGGACCTGGGTTGGCCTACTGGGCTGACTGTGGACTATCTGAATGGAAACAGGATCTACTGGTGTGACTCTAAAGAAAACATTATTGAATCCATGAAACCTGATGGCACAGACAGGAAGATCGTCATATCAGGAGGTCAGGACACTGAGATACAGGACAGCCACTCTGCAGACATACGAGCACATCCATGAGTACTGATAAATACTGTTATCTCTGCTCCAGATATTGGACATCCCTACAGTCTGGATGTCTTTGAGGGGCATGTGTACTGGACAACAAAGGACAAAGGTGAAGTGTGGAAGACAAACAAGTTTGGGAAAAGTAATAAAGTCAAAGTTCTAACCGTCAACCCCTGGCTGACTCAAGTCCGCATTTACCAGGAGCACAGACACACCCACCCAGGTCAGAACACAGACGGATTCATATGCTGCTCATGTAAAATAAGAAAATAAGTACTACTCTATTGTATGTACTCTATTATACTCTACTCTGGATTGTTTTACAGTTTTAATTAGCAGATTCCAACAAAGAGTGTGTCTGACTGAACGTGCCTGTTCACACTGTCCAGACTGGTGAAAACTGGACTTAATTCTGTTTCAGGCAACTTGCAGCATTTTTACCACTTACTACAAACCAAATAGAAACAAGAAAGAAGGAGATGATAGTTATTTAGTATTTAAGGCGTAATATTCAACCCTTGTTAACCTGGAAGGATGGATATCTCCATTTTCAGAAAGCTCCAGGCAGTGGGAACTCTTTGTCCTTGTTTGGTGCAAACTTTAATGATTAAAATCAGTCCTGGAAGTGAGTGTAGCTCTTTACACATTTTGTTCTGAAGATTTTCTAGACAAAGTACACAGGCATGAAGGTGAGCTATAATAAAGATTTGTTGGCATAGTAACGTGAAGAAATAACTAAGTTCACTTGCAAAATGTATTTGCAGGAAAGATTTTCCTTTTGCTCTGAACAGTAGCTAATACTATTTATTCTCTGTCCTCTTTAGTGCCCAACCCCTGTAAAAATGTGTGTAGTCACCTGTGTCTCCTCCGGCCTCGCGGATACACCTGCGCCTGCCCACAAGGCTCCTCTCCAGTGGAGTTTGACTCCAATGAATGTGATGCAGGTAACCAACAAGAAGCTGACTGCATGTACCATCTCGTGTTAGCTGTTGTGTTGAATCTCATTTTGCATTTATAAATCCATTCTCCATATGTACCTGGCTGCTCCTGTGTGGTGATATTTTGTCGTTCTTGACTCTGGATGCCTGGCATTTGCTCCTGCAGCCATTCAGGCACCTTTTCCAATGCCCCCTGCATGTAGATGCATGAACGGTGGAACCTGCTACACAGATGAAGGCGGTCTGCCCAAGTGCAAGTGAGCATAGTTTTATGTGCCATTTACACCAGTAAATGATTGTAAAAGATTTCCCATGTAAGAAAATCATGTTTTTCATGACTTGTTGCAGATGTCCATACGGTTATATGGGCAGCTATTGTGAGATAGGGAAGTCAAGGGGCACACCAGCAGGAACAGGTACTATCATTCACTCATTGGCTAACCTTTTATTTATTTATTCTCATTCACTGTTTAACAATCAGTTCCTGGTACGCAATATTAGCTACACATTCTTACAATCAAAACCCTGTGGGAGTCCTTCACATATGCACTGACTGGCATGTGGGAGCTGCCGTACACAAACAGAAGTAGATCAGAACCAAAAGGCATGAAGTCATCTTCCATATTTCCCTAAAGGTAGGTCAGGGTAACAAAACAGCCTGGAAAAGCTAATACTGGAGATGTTAATTGGCCAAATTTACACTTTTGCTTAATAAATAGCCAAGTAATATGACAGTTGATCACAGTTTAACTTAAACTAATGGGTCATCCAAAAGACAGATGGTAATGAACCTGTCAGTAAAATATTACAGTAGGAAAGTTGATCATCATCTGCAGGAAGTGTCCAGTATTCATACAACTAAATATGGATGTGTTACTTTTTCTCCGTTTAGCCATGGCTGTTCTCCTGGCCATCATTATCATCATCATTACTGGAGCTTTAGCTGTTGGGGTTTTCCTCAACTACAGACGAACAGGATCCTTCATCCCCTCTATGCCCAAACTACCCAGGTACCTCGGCTCTCACCTTTGCTTCTGCTTTAGTCACTTACTTTCAGTGTATGTTTGTATGAATTAAAATTATACTGAAGCTGACAGTAGAACATCTAGAACAAAGTCCAGCTTGGAGAGATTTTTTCTTTTTTTTTTTTAAACTAATATCCAGCCTCAGCAGCCTGGTGAAGTCCGCTGACACTGGGAACGGGGTGACGTTTCGCTCTGGTGACAATGTTGATCTCGGACCATCACGCGTCGGAGTGTCATTCATGGACACAACCATGCAGATGGTGAGTCCAGGAAGCAGTTAATATTCTCCCAAGTCACTTTAGGTTTAGGGCTGTATCAGCATTTCTGACTCACAAACAAGTGCTTCATCTGGTGTTTATTAACAGCTTTTATCTTGCTTGTGTCAGCATCAGTTGAGAGGTTAACAAGTGAACTGTGTCTTTTGAGGTTTGATATTTACTGTAAAAACAAGCTTGTGAATATAACATCCACACAGGATGACAATATTGCCATGAATGCTGGGAGACAGCCGATGACATTTGAGAACCCGCTATATGCCAATGCTCCCGGAGTGTCCGGGGATCCTGCTGTCATTCATGCTACACAGGTACATACAGTATATACTTGTGTTATACCATAAACAGTCCATCCCACATGCTATTATGACACACAGTAACACTACATATACAGTAAATTAAGACTTCTGGCACTTGACATTCATGTTCCCTGTCACAATTCTCGTCTGTCTGCATCCCAATTCTTATTTTATTCTACATGAACATGATTTTGAATTCAAAATATTGTCATGTCTATGTAGATAAAAAGTAAAACTGGGACAGATGCAGGTATTTTTGGTCTTTTGTGTACCTACAACAACCCTATGAATGTTTACATGCCTCCTCATGGTTGCCTTATTATTTTATTAACCTTTCAATGTGGCACATTCTAGGAATCTGTTAAACCAGTTAATGAAGTTGTCGTGGCGGCACAGGTTATAACTGATATCACAATCTTAAACAGGTGACTGTTAACATGAGTGGTGAACAGCTAGAGAACAACTTTTTGAATCCGACTTATCATGGAGATCAGGGCGCGGGGGGTGTGAACACATCTTCTCTCAGCACCAAACCAGTTCAGGTGAGTAGGTACACATAAATCTACTGTGTGGGAGCTAAATCCTCCGAGCGTAGCGCCAACTCGCTGTTTGCGCTCTTTTGCAGGAGTCCAGGTGGAGCTTATTCAAACGAAAATTAAAGCCAGGTACTACATTTGAAAACCCTTCGTACTCAGAGGTGAGTCTGGACAGAAGTCACGGTGTAAAAACATTTTAAGACATTAATAACAAAACAAAAATCTCAGGCGATTTTTTTTCATCTTGTTTACCTACTACCGTGTTTTGCAGATGAACGAGGACTCTGCCACCCCTGAGCCCTCTCCATTTGTCCCCCCTGCCAAACCTCAGAAGAGGGATCGACCCGGCACCTTCTCACCGACTGAGGACAGTTTCAGAGACACAGCCAACCTCGTTAAAGAGGACAGCGACATCTAGCCCCCTCTCGGACAGACAGGAATCAAAAAGAAGAAAACACTTTGCACAGAATGTATTTTTTTATGTAGCCTGTGTACAAAACTCAAATTGTTTTAGGAAAAATGAAATACCTTTCTATAGAATGAAGAAAGATTCCCACGACTATGCCTTCTGACATTTCTTAAGCCAATTCTTGTGTTAATGTTTTGTCTTTGTTCAGATATACAACATGTATATCTTTGCACTGAAGCTGCTGATAGAATTGTTAATAAATATGTTGTATATTTGTAAATTTGGACAGCAAGATTTTGAAGGAAATCTTTGAAATAGAGCCTAAGAATAGTTCAGCACAATATGACAATAACACATAAAAGGTGACCTGCATTCTTAATGTACAATACTTGTATGATAGAAGGTTATAAAAGAAAGTGTTGGATAATATTTTTTGCCACTGAACAAAACTGAAGATGCATTTATTTCATCTTTCATGTTTATATACCTCATTTCAGGGCTGAAAAATTAAAGGAGGGACAAAAAAAATGGATTTTAACTCGTGTGCTCCAGTATAAAGAGATGTGTGATGCATACTTATTGTACTTAATTTCCACCTACAGTATGTCCCCAGACTTTTTGACTTTGAATCAAATGATAATTTTTTTTTTAAGTGGTTTTGGTACAATGGCCAAAACAGTTTGGAACAATACTTGAATGTGCCCATGTCTTATGCATGGAAAATAATTTATGTATATGATTATCTTGAAGAGCAACACATGATCTGAGGATGCAGACGTAGAGTCATTTTATAAACAAGCTAAATAAATTCTTTACCTACAGAATGATTTATTTTGTACTACAATAAGGACAACTAAAAATCACATTCCCACATGGTTTAAACTGCTGCTGCTGAGACATTAATGAATAAATTTCCTATTTTGTAACAGTCTTGACACTTTTTTTATGTATTGTCACAATATATTTTAAATTTGCTGACAAGAAAAATCATACAGTCTTATAATCTACAGTATTTTAATGTGGCAATGGCCACAGCACGTTGTCTGCTAGATGTTTCTAGGTGAAGGAATAAGTATTTTGACCGAAACAAATGATGGTAGATAAGACTCCTAAGATTCCAAAGAAGCTTGGCATCCCAGCCTGCGCTGTAACTTGTGGGTGGAAACGGCAGTCAGCGCCATGCTCCATGCACCTGGTCACCTTAGAGATAAGGACTGCACAAGATGCCCATAAAGAAGCCCTGAATGTTTACATCTGAGACTTAAACCAAATGAAAGCAGCCATTCAAGACATTTGACAGTTTCAAATGTCTTGAAACTTGATTGAAATTTAGCTGTACTTCTACTCACAGTCAGCAAAGTGTGCAGCTCCATGTGAGTGTTTAACATCTTGAGGGAGATGTGACCACAGCCTCCTCTCCAGTAACAGCCAGCTGTGTCACAGCTGTCTTGAAGAAACCAGGGTCGATGATGCTCACTTTGATGCCAAAGTGCTGCATGTGCCTCCTGGGCAGAAGAGGCACATAGTTTTTTATGCAACTGGAATGCCTTTAACTGAGTTGGTTCTCTCGATCTCTCTGGAATTTTCCTTTGAAAATTAAGTTTAAGTCAAGTATTTACCAGCAGTGGAAGAAGCGCTTGGATCCTTTACTTAAGTAAAAGTAACAATACAACACTGTAAAAGAAAAATTATTAACATAAAAACATGCTTAAAGTATCAAGATACTATGCTAAAGATATTAGTATGCAGTAGACTGTATCAATGTTACAACAGAACTGAGACAGTAAAAAACAATTGAGAAGTGAATCCACTCTACAAACTAAGTTCATGATTAACGTTTTTTTTTATCAGATTCTTGTCTAAAGAAGCTTCACTTTGTTCCTTGCTATTTAAATCAAGACTATGAGGTTATTTCCTTTCTTCTCTAAAAATGAGGGTGTGTTTAACAAATCAGTAGGAGGATGACAGGTTGATGATGGGATGGTCCAGGTTGCCTTTATCTCCTCCAGTGCCTCACTCTGACTGGCACCCTATCTGTATGTGCCCCACAGTGTCCTCCCAACTCCAACCTCCAAGCTCTCTGACCTCTCTGCTTGCAAACTCTGCCGCCCTCTTGATGCTCTCACTGCCTGTAACATCCAGCTGAAGGGCCTTCAGTGTGGGAGAAGCCACTGCTGCATAATCGGATGCACCTTTCTCTGCAAGACACACAGCTACGACACGGAAATCTTTCCGAGCCAGCTGTCTTGGCCAGCAGATTCCCAAAGCCACTGTCATATGCTCCTGGGTGAAGCCATCAACCTTGTAGCAATCTGTGATAAACCAGCAGATGTTGGCGAGGGTGGCCAGGAGTAAAGTACCGTCTGAGACCAGATGTGTCAAGATGACCTAAAACACAAACATTACAGCTGTGGCTTCTATTGGTCCTTAAAGAACAATTCCATGGCATTTTCTTTTCTATCAGAGTGGTGGAAATAGATATACATATTTATGCAAAGTGCAAGCAGAAAGAGAAATCATCTTACCTCATAAATATGATGCTAGAAAATCAGCCGACACCTGAGAGGAGAAACCTGAGTTATTCTTTTTTTTTTTTTTAAAAATATTTAAATCCCATATGCAGAGGTGTGAAAGATTAACATGTAACAATCCATTGTCTATATTTTTGGCTATAGCATAAAAATAAGGACAATCACTTTATTTGGCCAAGTATGTTACACACACAAAGATTTTGTTTCTAATACAGAACCGTACATGATACTGACTCCTCCTCCTCATCATCATCATCCTTGTTTGGAATAAGCAGCAGTACTAAAACATAGATTACATGTGGCCAGTGGCAACATGTAAGTGCCAATATTCCTAGGGTATTTAATTAAATTACCAAATAGTGCCACCTAGTGGACTGTTCCAGTTTTGGTTGTAATACAGTATACAGACCATCTAAAAATGTATCACTTATATAATAAATGCCACAAACATATGATGCAGAAAAAGAATATAAATTAAAGTAGACTTAGCTGTGCCCACATGAGAAATGTGACTACTGACAATGAGATCATGTGACTAAAGGTTCAGTTCACCCAAATCAAAGAAAGCAGCATCTAGCAATGAAGATAGGTTTCAGTTACAAAAGTTCTCAGTCTTAGTCAAAATTACTGCATAATGAGGGCCTTTACTTCTGATAATTTTAGGACACTCTGCATACCACAAACAAAACCCCATTTACCTCAATTGTACTGGATCTTACAAGCTGAGATTCCAAACCTAGGGGAATTAAACCAAAATGATCAGCACATCTAGATAAGTGGGATTTAGGTTAACTTATCCTTTAATGCTTTAATTTTCAAGTGACCAACCAATGGCATCAAAACCCATGAGACTAGCTTGTGACAGGTGTGCAAAAAATATATGATTGCTCATTTAGTTCACTTTTGGATGTTACTCAAAGTATCTATTCGTCAATTCTGTGACAAAAACAGAAGTTAATTGTGTGGATGCTGAGTAAGCATCCACACCATGTTATCCTGTTCTGTCTCGTTATTCTGATGTCTGGATCTGCTGGATTGTGCTCCAGTCAAAGTAGCTGTGTCGCACCCACACACACCCCTACTTCTTTTTTCCTTCTTTGTAAGGACTGCTCACACAAACACACAGGTTGGTCTGCTTTCAAAATAAACGTGTCAGATGTCAGTAAAAATTTTCTGTTCTTTTAGAACTTCAAGCCATTTATTTTCTATCTCTCACTTTGGAATTAAGCTGTTTTAGGAATGCTCTCCAGCTCTCACCTTCTTCTGACAACATTAAACTCCCAGTTCCAGCATTTTCAGGGCAATTCTTCAGTTTCAGGCCTACACATCTGACCCTACAATCCTGGTCTGACCTCTGACACTCAGTGGTAAGAAAAGTAAGAGCAGCAGTATTTTGCAACTACAGATGTTGACATGAAGATGTGTGGGACCTATCTGCAGCAAAAGCTAATCGCTTCTGCTCCTGTTGGCTTATGATTTATGCGCCATAGTTTACACTTGTGCAATTGTAAACTGGGTAGAGCAGCAATGTCTTTGCCCTCTGTCCTAAAGGACTGTCCTGGTTAATATGGAGAGGAAGGCAGAGGAGTGATAACTAGACTTTGGGTGTCCAAAGATTACATTAAAAAAAACTTTTAAGGTCAGATTTAAAGGCTTTAAGACCATTAACAAAATGGATTAGTTTTATCCTTAGTGGTGAATATTTAGATTTTAAATGCAAATTACTGACACCTGTTGGTTTTTTGGCAAAATATTCAGCTCTATTCTCCACAAAACTAACTTATCTGAAAATATTATAGGTTTATAAATGTTAAGGGACAGAAATAAATGACTTAATCATTTACAAAATCTTCTAAAGTAAAAAAAAAAATCTTGAAATGTTGTCATTTCAGGTGTTACTCTCTCTGCCTCCAGGTGGCACAGGTCTGTGTGGACACATCTGGTCTGACTCTGTCTCCTTGTGGAGAATGTGGAATTTGCTGCACACTGCTCATCACAGCTCAGAGAGAGCAAAGGTTTTAAAGATAAATTTTGTATTACGTGCATACAATTAGATTTTGGACAATGGCTCAGTAAAATAATTAAACATTTATAATTGATTACAGGCGATTATTTTGAATCTTTAACTAAACTATGTATGTTATACTGCGACAGCCTGTGATGTTTTCACTATGATCTTCAGAACGCATGGCACATTATTAAAGTCTAACTTAAACAAAAAGAGTTAAAACTTTCACTCCATTGAAAAAATTTGACAGTACTCGTGACATCATGGAGAAGAAATATAATAGACTGGTAAATTGTTTAAAAATCAATAAATTGATAATCTAAATCATTAATTTCACTGGTTTATTTTTCCAAAAAGGAACAGTCCAAATGCAGACATTTTTACAAGCATGTCTGACTTTGTGATCTTTGATTACTTTGTAATCAGCAAGTGTGAATAACAAGTTAGGAATTCCAAACATACTCCATTATATGACCTGACAGCAGCATTAAAAACAAATCATATGTATGATATATATATATATCATATATATGTCCAGAGAGAAATAAACAACCTCTCCACGGAAATGTGACCTAGTAAGTACGGTCAAGGTCTTTTTTTTTTCCTCTCACCCAGTGTCTTGTCTTGAGCTATAGAAATAGAAAGCACAGAAGACGGTTTGTTCTTTAGGCAGCTCCATTCTCTGTTAATGTTTTTTTTTCCTCCCACATGTTGCACCCCTTAAGCCTCTAGGTTTATCTGTAGAAAAAATAATTGCTATGGGAGGTTATGTCCAAGTCTGTACCCCCATCGAAATGCGTTTCTCCTTGGTATTTTAACTTAAGCCAACCTTATTCCAACTGAATAACTTAGTGAAGTGTTGGTAGGTAGATTTTGTTACTTTCACACAGACCCACACTAACTGCTTCCCCCTGTTTCAAGTATTTATTCTAGACTAAGCTAATCATCCTCTGGCTCCAGCTTTACTGCAAACAGAGCAATGTGAGAGTGGTATGAAATCTCAGCAAGAAAGCAAATAACTTTACTTCCTGAAATGTTGAACTTCTGCTTTAAATAACAGATTATTGTATAATGGCGATGATGTTCCTAATGATATTTGGGGGTTTGGAATACAGGAGTTATTAAAGGACTTTCATTCACTAGCTTATATTACAGGTTTACAAAGCAATAATGCGATAAATATCCACAGCTGTAAAGATTAGGAAAGGCAAGTTTATGTATATAGTATATTTTCATACACAACAGCAATTCAGAGTGTTTAACACAATGCACAGTGATGGATAAAACATTAAAATTCATACAGTATATAGATAAAACAGAATGCAAAATTCATACAGTATATAGATAAAACAGAATGCAAACTTATATACATACCAGAAAATCTGAAACATCAAAATCTATACAGTCAACTAAAGTATAAATAGGGAGTGACAAAGGAGGCGCAGCTGAAGAGTGTCAGAAAATCAGGACAGGTGTGTTAATCAAGAGAGTCAGTGAGAAGGAGCAGACTAGAACGAGAAAGAGAGAAGAGAGGAAGGTGCAGCCGGGCAAACCTGACACAAGGTATATAAGAGCTACAACCAAACCAATCACCATCTCTGGTTGGATGCTGAAAATTCACATATTTGTATGCTATATTTCCTTATATAACTTTTTTGATTTTTTTAAACTGAGTGATTATTTAGGACATTAAACTGGTTGAAATATTTAAGCAAGTTAATGGCCTCAAATGAAAACTTTGAACATCCCAGTTAATTCACAGAAATCCTGTAATGTGAGTCAGAAAACCACATGCGATGTGAAAGTTGTGAAGAAAATCTTCCTCCGTTATTATTCTTCCATTAAGTTTTTACTTAACAAGTAGCTTCAAGCCAAAGAAAATTAGACACAGACAATTTTAATAACTTGTGAAATTTGTGGGACCTTACAATTAGTTGTAGGATTTGGGAGTATCACAATTATTCAGCAAAATGCCACAAACTGAAGTCAAATTCCCTAAAATAGCTTCAGATAAATGACAATTTCACTGAACTCTATAAGGAAGTGAGTGCACCCAATTGTCCTAAAGTCAATGATAAAAATGTCTATAATTATCTGTTGTCAGTTGCACGGATGCCTTTAGCATTCGTCAGCCTTGACGTTTTTCAATTGGTCCTTTGTCAGCACTTTGTATGTCAAAAAAGGAACCAGTTCCTGGATGAAGAAGCAGAGGTATCAGAGGATAAGGAGGAGGCAGATGCATCATCTGATGAGGAGGACTGCTGACACCGCCGACCCTGTCTGCCTGCAGACGCGACTTGATCACATCCACAGGATAGGTGGAGAGCCAAGAGGCAATGCCCGACATTCCACCAGCAAACAGTAGCTTAGTGCTCATGTACGGGTCTTCTGGCTCACAGCCCAGCGAATGTGTCAGCACATCATATGTGAGAAAGTACACGCCGAAACCAGGCGTCTCACGCACCAGGGTGGTCACCATGCCACGGTTGATACTTCGGATTCCCTCCTTCTTGTAGATTCTCACCAGACAGTCCAGGGAGTTTTTATACACCTTTCTTCTTAGACTTCTTCTCCCCAGTCCCCTGCATCTGCATGCGGGTCTTGGCAAGTTCCACTGGACAGCAAATGACATGCTGGATGGCTGCACCAGAGGCCCCAGCCAGGAACTACTTGAGTGGTGTATCACAGCCAAGTTTGCGCATGGCGTTGCCCTGCAAACCAAAAACTATGACATTGATGAATGTCAGCCCCATCATTGGTGAACCAAGGCCTTTGTACAAGCCAAGAGCCTACAGACACAAAGATTTGCTACTAGGACCATGAAGAAAACACCTCTCCACCACTCTGTAGGGGTCAAAGGTAATGTTTTTCATCATTTGTGCACACTAGGGATGTAACAATATCAGTCATTAGGTTCTGATAGTGGAAACGCAGCATTAGTGGCATATGAGCAACTGTAGAGAACCAGTCACTTAAGTGCTTCCTTGCAGCACCAACAATTAAAATGATTTTTAATCAAGTAAAAATTCATACTAAGCTGAAAAACCACTAAATATTTGTTAATATTGTACTGTAGGAGGAATACAACACAGTCCAAAAATTCCCCGAGATCAAGTGCGGCTCAAATGGCACAAGGTCCAAAGCTTTTAGTCCACGGTGGAAGAAGGTCCTCACTGGCTGTAGCCAACAAATACAACACGTCCTCCTTTCAGCCCTGACACCTCATGTTAGGGACCCACTGGCTGATCTTGGTCTGATGTGATGGTAACTGGACACTTTTATTTTGTGCACAGAGCGTTCTCCACACTGACTAAAATGTTAAGGGGCATTCACAACAAGGATGAACTTACTGACTCCTGGTGTATGATTGACTGAAAGCAGTGAAATGTCCCAAGGTACAAAGGTTTGTCCGCATTTTGAACTTGAAGCCGCACATGTGGGTGACAGCCCTCATGTATGAGAGGGAGGTCCATAACAACTGCACACGACATAATGTAATGCAGGTTTAAATGATCATCCTCTGGCTCCAGCTTTACTGCAAACAGAGCAATGTGAGAGTGGTATGAAATCTCAGCAAGAAAGCAAATAACTTTACTTCCTGAAATGTTGAACTTCTGCTTTAAATAACAGATTATTGTATAATGGCGATGATGTTCCTAATGATATTTGGGGGTTTGGAATACAGGAGTTATTAAAGGACTTTCATTCACTAGCTTATATTACAGGTTTACAAAGCAATAATGCGATAAATATCCACAGCTGTAAAGATTAGGAAAGGCAAGTTTATGTATATAGTATATTTTCATACACAACAGCAATTCAGAGTGTTTAACACAATGCACAGTGATGGATAAAACATTAAAATTCATACAGTATATAGATAAAACAGAATGCAAAATTCATACAGTATATAGATAAAACAGAATGCAAACTTATATACATACCAGAAAATCTGAAACATCAAAATCTATACAGTCAACTAAAGAGCACAATGAAGTCAGTTGGTGATTGATAATGGATGCATGCAAACACAGGGAAAACAAGCAGACTCCAACACAGAAAGACCCCGGTTGGCTGGGGCTGTGAGGCAACAGTGCTAACCACTGCACCACTGTGCCGCCTTGATTAATTTTTCTTTACCAAGTTACATGACAGGGGTGTCATTACATGTCTGACAGCCTGTCATGTAATTTAGTAAAACATCTGGACTAATTGGTTCATTTGTTTAGAAAGTTTTAACAGCAGATTACTTGTCCAGTTATTCAAATTTAAATATCTGCTGTTAGGAGAAGCTGGGTTTATTTCTTCCACTTCTGTGGTTTCCTCAACCCCAGAAAGTGGCGAAATCTTTTCCACTGAGACTTTGGTTTAGTTGTCCCTGTGACGATCTGTTCAGAAACCACAGCATTCTCTGCCAGTTCATCGTGAAAGGCACCAGGGAGAGAGTCCTGGTCCTCACATTGTCCATCCTCATGC